ACAGACTGGACAAGGGCCTCCCAGAGCTGGCTCCCAAGGCTTTTCTACCCAGAGCCTCAGAGAGGTGACCAGTGACTGGGCAAGATTTCAACATAAAATGAATTACCTAGGTCCGGGGACCACCAGGACTACCATATCATTCTCCAAGGTAAGGGCAGGGGCCAAAGAACTAAGTGAGAAATAGATGAGAAGATAGTAAAAACACCCACGGACGTTTGCCTTGAGTTTTATTTAATGTTTGCATAAGCTTGTCCTTAATAAAGACTTTTTATCTCTTAAATAATAAGGTGTGGAAGTTGGTGCTTTAAATACGTGGGGTCTATTTTTTTTCTTTGAGACAGGATCCCATTTTGCTACCCAGGCTGGAATGCAGTGGTGCAATCATGGCTCACTGCATCCGGGAATGCCCAGGCTCAAGCAGTTCTCCCACCTGAGCTTCCTGAGTAACTGGGACCATAGGCATGTGCCACCATGCCCCGCTAATTTTTTTTTAACTTTTTGTAGAAATGAGGTCTTGCTATGCTGCCCAGGCTGATCTCGAACTCCTGAGTTCAAGCAATCCTCCCGCCTCGGCCTCCCAGAGTGTTGGAATTACAGGCATGAACCACCTTGCCCAGCCCATCTGTGGGGCCTTGATCAAAAAATTCTCAGGAGAATTGGGAGCAAAGTTGAAGATTTGACAACAAAGACACGTAGTTACCACCTGGTGGCAGCATATCTAAACTAAAGACTGTGAGTGTGACGTGTGTGTGTGTGTGTGTGTGTGTGTGTGTGTGTGTGCATACATCCACGCAAGCAAGTTCAGGGGAAGGAGAGATTAGAGCAGAATTGTACAATCTCGAGGTCAGAACCCAACACCTCTCTCCAGCCCCACTTCAATTAACACTGGGAGCGTCCCCTATAACCTTCCAACTCAGGTGATTATCTTGGATTCTCTTTGGAGAAGCGACCTCATTACCACCCTTTCCCAAACTCAAGTCAGAAAGATTTGTCCCAATAACAGTTAGGTGTTCGGCAAAGGCCTAAAGCCTGCCAGCCTATAATGTTTGTCCTGAGAGCGAGTCAATGAGTGAGCGAGTGAGTGAATGAACACAGCCTCATTTACTTAATATGGTTATTTTCAGCCTCTAGGGTTACCACAGTCAATGGCGGGGCACCGATAAACGTGGCAATCTGGACATTTAGAAATAGCTCCATCTCAGCATAAGTGTCCATCTCAGGGCTGGCAGGCCAGGAGAGCCCTATATTCCAGTGGGACAGCAGACAGATTTGCCTCTTAGGAATATGAAGACACAGATTCCTGGTCCAGTCCTCCCTTGATGGGACTTAAGTAAGTTACTAAATCTTGGAGCCTTAGTTTTCTTTCCTGCGAAACAGGGATGATTCTATCCACCAAACCCTAGGACGGTCAGATGAGATCATATTGATATGGGCAGTCTGTGGACTTTTAAAGAGCTGCCAGATGTTTCAAGTTATTACTCTGCTGGGCAGTGCTGCAAATATGCATCTTAGATTTAGTAGTGTGTCCTCTATCCTACTTCTTTTATGAATTAAGCTGCCTTCTCACCTACAGAGCCACGGTTAGTAAAATAAATGATTCCTCCCCAGGTCCAAGTTGCTGCTGCTTCTGAGCCAGGAGGTAAGCGATCATTCTCAAGGTTATACTTAGCCACAGAGACAAAAACACAAACCAAACCATGTCTAGAGTCAGAAAATTCAGAGTTCATATAATTGGGGAAATAAAAATGTGGGCCAGGCATCGTGGCTTACGCCTGTAATCCCAGCACTTTGGGAGGCCAAGGAAGATGGATTGCTTGAGCTCACAAGTTCAAGACCAGCCTGGGCAACATCACAAAATCCCGTCTATATGAAAAATACAAATTTTAGCTGGGCATGGTGGTTCACAGCTGTAGTCCCAGTAACTGGGAGGCTTAGGTGGGAGGAAGGCTTGAGCCAGGAAGGTGGCTGTTATTGGGAGCCAAGATTCTACCACCGCACTCCAGCCTGAGCAATAGAGCCAGACCCTGTCTCAAAAAAAAAAAAAAAAAAAAAAAGAAAAGAAAAATATGGTGAGTTTCCTTTTCTCATGCAAAAAGAAGCCAAATTTGACAGCCTGCCCCCCGCTGGCAGCCCCCTTCCAGCTCCACAGCATCCAGAAGCCCCCTGGCCCGGGTGACTCTACAAGTTGCAGTTGGCTACAAACCAGGCTAGCTCCACAGCACACAGCTGCCTTGGGAAGCCCTGGTAAACCTCATTGATCCTGCTGGGAGGGGCCCAGCACACCAGGAATAATGGGAGAGATACCTTTGGCACTCCCTGAAGGTTTCCAGTGCTGTGGTGGGACATGGCATGTGTTAGAACATCCAAGGGGGCCAATAAGTGCTAAGGCTCTGTTAGTGCTAAACTGCCAATAAAATAGGGCATTCTCTAATTGTCCAGCAGTTTCCTAGCAAAGACACGGGGCAGAAAGGATGATGCAGTCTCCAGATTCAAGTGGGTACTGGTGGTTCTCCAAGTGTTCTTTTGTGAGTGAGTCCCTGTTCCACGGTGGAAAGGACTGGGTCCTACCCAATTCCCCACCTGGCTCTCCAATACCCAGGAGAGATCAGTAGCTGAAATGTACTTGATGCTCCAGAAATGCTTATTGCGTATATGGGTAGAAGGATGATGGGCAAGGCTAGGGGGCGCCAGAGGCTGTTTTGTTATCCAGTATCTAGAGCTGCAGCTAGGGGAAGCGTGGCTGTAGAGGCCAGATGGTTTTTCCAAAAGGAACCACAGCTAAAATGCATGGTGTTGGATAACAATTTCTGACATAGTATACAGAATATAGTCCTAATGACAGAAATCTGGATTCAAATCTGGGCTCTATCACTGACTGTGACACTGGGAATGTTCAACCTCTCTGTGCCTCCGTTTCCCCATCTGTAAAGCCCAGGTAATAAAAGCATCCTCGTAGGGTAGTTTTGGACTTCAGTAAGATCAAGGGTATTAATGATAGGGAGGATGCTTTCTCTCCTCACATCCATGCCAAGGCACAGCTCATTCGTGAAGAGCTTCCACCAGCACTTCCAGCTCTCCCAGTTAGGTGCTGGAGGGGAGCTTTTACTGCTATTTCTCCTGAAGGAGCAGCAGTCTGAGTGGCAAACACCTGACAACCGCTGGACCACATCCTGTAGGTGCTGGGGTCAGTGTCAAAGCCCTGCTGGCATCAGAGACTGCCTCTGGCCCTCTGACCAACCTGTGCCTTCTCTCCAAGGCACCCTCTTGGTACCTGCTCTTCCATGAGTTCATGGATGGGAAAGGCAGGCCCACCTTCCTGTGGGCCCAGGGCCCTACATCTTCTTTTCAGACTGAAGGCTGGTAATACTCAATCTAGCCCATTCCAGAAATTCCCCCATCCATGATGCTGATACCTTGGTGGATACTTCCCTTTCTTGACTCTATTGATGAAATCCAGAGGGAAGGAGGGCTAAGTCTACAGTGGTGACTCTGCATGCTTAGCATTTCATAGAGAATGATGGTGACACATGAATAAGCCTCTTAAGAGGGCCTGCTGTGTGTCTCCTGCTTCAACTCCAGCATGTGCATGGAGATCAGATCCAGTAGTACCTAGATCCGTGGTTCTCAAGGGTGGTGGCACTGCCCCCGGGGGCATTTGGGAAGTCTATGAGGGTGTTTTGGGTGGTCACCAAGGAAATGGCATTTAGTAGAAGGGGGAAGGACCCTAGACACCCTGCTATGTGTGGGACACCCCTGCACAATGAAGAAATGTTTCGTGTCCCTCGTGACTTCAAATAGTCCCCTAGACATATATATAAGTTTTAAAAAGTGAGTACGATGCATATTTATACCTACGTGCATACTTCTACATATCTGTGTATATGTACATGTATGTGTGTATTTTTAAATTTAATGTCAGCAGATACTAGCAAAAATATGGACACATATACCTATTATTTTATTACTAATTATTATTAATGCCATATTGGTTGGGAGTCACAAGTCACATAGGCTTCTCTCCACTCAGTTGTATATTCCTATTTTGTTTCAAGTTTAGGCACTGGAGGGAGCCTGTTCTGCTCATTCATTTTTGTAAAAACGTACTGCTTTTGCAGTGGAACAAACAAGATAATAAAAAATGGACAAAGTTTGTTAAACAGTTTAAAAGAAAAATCGTGATCCTGGAGAATAATATTTTGAAAATCAGTTTACTATATATTAGCCCAATAAAATCACATTACCCCTCCCCCCTGAAAATCTGCCTATTATTTTCTGAGCCTAGAACCTAAACTGTTTCACATATAAACACATCTTATTTTTGCAAAACTTAATTTTTTTTGAAATTCAATTACTGTGAAAATAGAAAGGAAATCATAAAGAGTGGTTCACCATCTAGGAAAATCTGGGTGCCAGTGACAACACTGCTCCCATCATTTGAGCCATCAAGACCACAGACATGTGTCAGTCAACGTTTGAAGCCATAATGCTGCCAGTGATTCTAAGTGTCTCTCCATCTGACTATTTGTCATGACTTCTGGTGCAGGCATGCCTGAGCATGTCCTCTTCTTTCCTATTTCAATTAGGGCAGTATATTTGATTTCTGAGAATTTTATACGTAGGTAGGTTATATAATATGTAAACCTCGTGTCAGAGTAGGAAAGGGGTAATATTACAAAATGTTTGTTATGAAAAGGACCCACGGAGCCTGGCAGGGCTGAGAGCCACTGATTTGGCTTCTCAGATCACAAGGCAATGACTTCATCCATTCTGACTTCCAGATATGTGCTTAAACTCTCCCAGCAGTCACAGCAGAGGAAGTTTGAAGAAGGATTCTGCTTGCCACCATACATGACTCCAGCCCTAGCTTTGCGTAAAACAGGACTTTCATCTCCCTGGGGTGGAGTGAGGGGAAGCAGGGACTCCCCCAGCCGTCGTCAACCGGAATGAAAAAGCTGTTTCTCAGCAGAAAGGTGGAAGCAGAACTGGGTTGTGCTACTTACAGAGATCTTCAGTGGCAGCTGGGACGAAGGCAGCCATGGACTCATAGAGATCCTCGTCACAGCCGGGGTTGAGCGAGCATTTCATGAGCAGGTCTGTGGAAAGGTGGGCCATGGACTCGTACACAGTGTCAGCCTCCTCCCCTTGCATCAGCTCTTCTTTAATGTGACTCTTGAGCATGTCCACCGTTTCCTGAAAGAGAAGGCAAGGCCCAGGGACTGAGGCAGCCTGGCTTTCTGTGTGGAACTTGGCCCCTGACAGCACTGTGGCCAGCAAAGGTTCCCGTGAGTCAGGATTGCAATTGTTTCTGTGTATCTGTATTTTCCCACCCAACTGAATGCTCCTTGAGGCCAGGCTTCCCATCTTTTTTAGTTTCTTTCCTGTATTTTGTTTTAATCTTTGTATCTTCCTAAAACACTAGGCACAGTTAGGCACTCAAGAGATACTCGCTGAATGTCCAGCGACCAGAGGATACAAATTAAAAATTACTTCCTATGGCCAGGCATGGTGGCTCACACCTGTAATCCAGGACTTTAGGAGGCCAAGGCAAGTGGATCACCTGAGGTTAGGAGTTCGAGACCAGCCTGACCAACATGGCAAAACCTCATCTCTACTAAAAATACAAAAATTAGTGGGGTGTGGTGGAGCATGCTTGTTATCCTAGCTACTCGGGAGGCTGAGGCATGAGAATTGCTTGAATCCAGGAGGCGGAGGTTGCAGTGAGCCAAGATTGCGCCAGTGCACTCCAGCCTGGGCAATAGAGCAAGACTCTGCCTAAAAACAACAAAAAAAGTTACTTTCCCATGAGCACCTATTTAAGGTCAAGTACGATGCTAGGTACTTGCCTATCCCCTATCTCCTGTAATTCATTCTGCTACTGCTTGAGAAAGGTATAATTCCCTAGTTTACAGACGAGAAAAACAAAGCTCACAAAAATCTAGTATCTTACTCAAGGGCTTGCAATCCTAATTTTTTTTTAATTGCATTTTAGGTTTTGGGGTACCTGTAAAGAACATGCAAGATTGTTGCATAGGTACACACATGGCAGTGTGATTTACTGCCTTCCTCCCCATCACCTATATCTGGCATTTCTCTCCATGCTATCTCTCCCCAACTCCCCACCCCTCGCTGTCCCTCCCCTATTTCCCAACAGACCCCAGTGTGTGATGCCCCCCTCCCTGTAAAAATGTGGAACGCGTCACAAATTTGCGTGTCATCCTTGCACAGGGGCCATGCTACTCTTCTCTGTATTGTTCCAGTTTTAGTATATGTGCTGCCGAAGCGAGCACAAGCAATCCTGATTTTTGATCTTTCTACACCCTAGTGGTTCCTCAAAAGGGGAAAAAAATGACATAAGACGGTGTGACCTTTACTGACTAGCCACAGAGAAATTCAAATGAGCCGAACAGGAATGCAGCTAAGGTGTTCTCATACTGTGTGTAGGCAGAGGTCACTCCACAGCTTGGCACAATATGCCCTGTTCCTTCCACAGGCTCCTCCAAACTGTCAGGAACCCTGCGTTTCCAGGGGTTCTGGCCTTGGTTTTATGTCCTATGTGCCCAAAAGGAGAGATGATCTGGGATGAAGTGTCCTGACATCACAAAGGTTTCTCTCCCATCCCCCCTCACCATCCTGCCCCTCCAGGTGATTGTGAAGCCAGAGAGGTAACTTCTCTGAAACCCCTGCACAACTTTTCCTGGTAAGAAATGTCGGTGTTTCACAATCCTTATTTCAGCATCAACCCACAAAAAACTTCATTTTCACCACCACTACCCTAAGATAGCTAATCTTTTTTTTTTTTGAGATGAGATCTTGCTCTGCCATCAGGCTGGAGTGCAGTGGCATGATCTCAGATCACTGTAACCTCCGTCTCCTGGGTTCAAGCAATTCCCCTGCCTCAGCCTCCCAAGTAGCGGGGATTACAGGTGTGCGCCACTATGCCTGGCTAATTTTTTGTATTTTAGTCGAGACAGGGTTTCACCATGGCCAGAATGGTCTTGATCTCCTGACCTTGTGATCTGCCTGCCTCAGCCTCCCAAAGTGCTGGGATTACAGGCATGAGCCACTGTACCCAGCCGATAGCTAATCTATTATTGACACTTGGTTAGTTTTCTCACAAGACCCAGTAAACCAAATGACAGCTTCGAAATGTTGTAAATTCAAGATCTGGCCTTTGGTTTTGATGTGATGAAAAAAGGAAATGGGAATAGTTCTAAAAGGCCATAAGCAACACCAAGGGACAATCTTTAGGTCACAATGTTGAAGCTGCATCCGTTGAAGGTGACCACAGTGAGAAAGCAAAGATGATATGACCCAGATTAACTTCAGTGCACACTGAAAGTGCATCTTTAATCATCCCAGTTAAATATAACAGGATAACAAGCCTGGGCTTTAGCATCAAACTTGGTGCAAATCCTGTCTCTGCCCTTAATAGTTTATAGCCCTAAGCACAATGACTTTTTCTAAGCCCTTTCCACTTTTGTAAAGTAAGGCTTGCAATACTGTCAACGTCAAAGGATTGTGGTGGGGATTAAATGAGATAATACATTCTCAAATCAAATACATTCAACAAATACTAGTTACTACTATGAACACAGTGGATTCTTAAAAACGATTGGCATGGAAATGAAATGCTACATTTGGTACATTTGTGACTTCAAGAAAAAGCTGAGTAAATACACCCAGACTGAGAGCACCTTTTAGCCTCATTTATGTCAATAATGCCCAAAACAAGGACTCACGCCATTCTATTCAAAACACTGATACATCTGTAAACACTGGGAAGTCCCCTCTGTGTGCCTCCCTGAATCACTGTCTTGTAGATTTTCCAACACAGAGCAGGGAGTTAAGTTTCTGGGGACATGTCAAGCTCCTTCCTGTCTGGAGGTCGAGAGAGGTTTGTTTTTATTGCTCCCTGTGAGGTCACAGCCCCATGTGAGAGGCTGAGCTATTCTCAGGTACCCTATGAGAGTCTGTGAAGAAGGAGGAAAACCAGGAAGGATTGGGATCAGGAAGAGCAGCTGCTTCTCGGGCATCAGAGGCAATCCTGGGGCATGGGATAAGATGTGACATGGGGTGCAATCAGCCTCAAAGAATGACCCAGAAGTCAGCGTTCAAGGAGGAGCTGAGGGCCCCAAACCAGATGATCAGATAAAACTGGTGTACCTGCCTGTCTTAAGATGGGACCCAGGCAGGGGGTTAGAAAGAGAGAGCAAGGCTGTCAGCGGGAGATGGGCCTCAGAGTTGCTGCCTGATGCCTTTCCAGGTGCACAGCTTTTTGTGGTCTCTGCTAAAGAAGGATCAAGTCTAACACAGTTCACCTGGGCCTATAGGCCTATAGGTTCACCTGAGGCAGCTGGGAGCATCCCAGCAAGGTGCCCTTGGATGTAGGTGGGGAGGGGGGATGGGGTGGTCAGCCTCTACCTTCAGCAGATTAACTCTAGAAATGTTTCTGCAAATTCTTTGAAGGTGAACCTCAGTGCTTTATAGAAATGATTCCCTTTTACCTTCAAAAGAACTCAATGACTGAACTATGATTATCTTCCTTCTGCATATTAGGACACTGAGAGAGGATATGTGACTTGCCCAGTGTCACAAGACCAACAAGTGTTGGTACAGGAATTCGGACCCAGGTCCATGTGACTCTAGGGCTCATTTCTTAAGCCCACACATACTACCCACACCCAGAAGAGGCACATGAGGACATGCTAGAGATAAAATCTGTGGGTATTTTAGGTGGAAAGGCAGCCCTACAACCACAGAGTGCATTTCCACGCCTGGGCCCCTCCTGCCTTGACCTTACCACATACTCGTCGATGAACTGCCGCAGGTCTCTGAAGCCGTGTTTCTCAGCGATGGTGTTGGGGTAGTGGCCGTGCTTGTTGGCCACGCTGTATGCCTGCAGAGCTCCCGGGCAGGTGAGCAACAAGGCAGTGAGGTTCTTCAGTCCATACTTCGCAGCAAAATGCAACAAGGTGGGCAGCTCTTCATTCCTCTGATCTGAAAATCGTCAAGGAAAACTGAATTGACAGATAAAAATAAAGGCACAGGGTACCCTTTTCATGGAGATGAAGCTGCCAAGACTAGCATGGCGACTGTAGGCACCCAGCCATTACTCACTGCTTGATTGACCTAACATCTAACAGCCTCCTTCAGGACACCACTGAAGATCATATCCTCAGGTGCAGAGGAAATAATTCTATTTTTTTGAGATGGAGTCTCGCTCTGTTGCCCAGGCTGGGGTGCAGTGGTGCGATCTTGGCTCACTGCAACCTCTGCCTCCTGGGTTCAAGTGATTCTCCTGCCTCAGCCTCCCGAGTAGCTGGGATTACAGACATGCACCACACCCAGCTAATTTCTGTATTTTGAGTAGAGATGGGGTTTCACCATGTTATCCATGCTGGTCGCATATTCCTGACCTCAAGTGATCTGCCTGCTTCTGCCTCCCAAGGTGCTGGGATTACAGCATGAGCCACCATGCCCAGCCCTAACATTTTAATTAATTAGCAAATCTAATAATTAATACCCTGCCACCTTCTCCAAGACTAGAAAATCCTGAGAGAAAGTACCAATTCAAAATGTGCTGACTTTTTTTTAAAGGCTTAACTAGCAGCCACAAAGTACAGTAGGAATCATGTTTTGAACTTCTCTGCCAAATTCAGAGTATGTATTTTAAAGCTATTGTTTCATGCTGATTAAAAGAAAGAAGCTCATCCTCTTAGCCCTTATTCCTAATTTCATGATAAGTACACCAAGTAATCCTGGGTATGTTCCTTAGACTTTCTGCGGCCTTTAGGTCTCAACCAGAAAAGACTTCCAGACTATCTCAAAAGGACCTGGGAGGGTTAGTATGATGGTATTCAGTGGGATTCTTATTTAGGACAGATTCTGAACATTGGTCTTAATGCACACAAGCCCCACCAGGACATCAGTTCACTCTAATTGGTGGGAAGCAAAGTACTCTAGAGAGGTGTTGGGTCCCCATGGACCCCTCCACCCACTGTTATCTGAATATAGCAAGTTGAACTCAACCAAGAAAATGGACATGCTTGGGTCTGTGGAGCTGGGGACAAATCTCTTCTTTCATAAATGTTTATTTTTAAGCCCAACAATTTGATAGATATATAATATTTATATACAAATGTATATTTTTTAACATGACAAACCCAGACTTCTATTCCAAATACGACCCTTGGGATGAAGGGTCTGAAAATATTCCCACGATCCTAGATTGTCAGGCTATGAAATACTTTCCCCTAAGCTCCAAGCTTAATAGAGAATAGTCAAACTACAAAAGTGCCACAAGAACATTCCATAGTAGGAAAATGGGGAGAGGCAATACGAAAGAGAATCCCCCAGGAGGAGGCCTTGAAGGTCATGTAACCTCATCTTTATGGTTCTCTTAGGCTACAGAGGGATGGAATGTAGGCAGAGGGTAACTAGATACTTGGGTCCCATTTGTGCAGTGCAACCATGGCATGCAGGAAGGGTGGTGTCCACAGAGACACTACAATGGGCAACCTGTCCAGAATGCCCAGCACCATCCCTGTGCAAGGGGTGTGACTCTCCCAGCTCCCAGCATGTCCCATGTGCACAAGAGGCTGCTCCTCCCTCATTCAACAAGTACTTTTTTAGAGCCTATAGCAAGCCAGCCACCCAGGAACAGTTCCAGCCCTCACTGAGCGGACAGCCTAGCAAAGAAGACAGACACAGCTGAGGAGTGCTAGGACAATGGCACCCAACGTGCTGGTGGTCGGGGGGTGCAAAGCAGGTGAATGGAACCTACTGGAGTTTGGAGAAGGCCTTCCAGGGGAATTGCTACCTAAGCTGCTACAGGAAGTGAGAGGTTAGCCAGGTGAACAGCAACCAAGGCAGGGAGGAAGAACTGTCTTTCCATGAGTCTGTGGCAAGAGACAGGTGAAAAAAGCTCAAACCTCCTGCAGAGCAAAGCACAGAAAAACCAAGAAGGAGTGTGGAGAGAGATGAGGGCTTGTTTACAGGTTAAGCAGTTTGGATTTTATCCAGAAGGCAAGTGGGAACCTCCCTTGACAGAGTATATAGATTATCCGTTCCTCATACGATCCCTATGAGGAATAATCATTAACCAGCTCCACTGGCTTACACCAAACTGATTTAAAATCACTCATTGCCTACTCCTCCGAAAGCCACCACATGTGTTTTGAGAAGGGGGTAAAGTATTCAGTTTTGTAATTTAGAAGAATGAGGCTACCCAGTGAAGAATGAGTCCTTATCAAAGGAGAGGTTATAGAGAAGGGACCCAGAAGAGTCCCAGCAGAAAGTAAACGCATATGTTGACAGGATGTTGATTTCCTGAGGTTTGACCATCGACTTACTTGTCATCATATCTTCCTCTTCCAGCTGGTTGATTCCAAAGAGGTGCAGTCCACTTGCAGGGATATTGTTCTTCAGGGATTCGGTTAGCAGTTTATCAAGGGTCTCTGTGTTGTAGGGCACAATTTTAAAGGCCTGAATACAAAAGTGAAGATGGTCAGATGTGAAATCCAGTTCTCTCCCATCCCACAGGTTCAATACTGATAAGCCTTGAGCAGAAATTACATGCCCAGAAAGCTCAGGTTTCCTTGCAATATCCTTACCTGACACATGAATTCCACAGGATTTGCAGCGTTGGACAATAAATTCCCAATTTCTTCCATGTCAGTATAATAGCTGATAACGGTTTCACACACCACTAAGTCCCCAGAATATATCTTCAGGGAAACATTCCCAGATGAAAGGTCTGAACAGAAGAAAAGATACTATCAAAATTCCCAGGAAAAAAAAGCATCCAGGGAAAAGTGGCTGTGGATATACACACTCCACCTGAGTGGCAAGGACACTAACTGGGGCCTGGAAGAAAGATCTTGGAAGTGAGCAGAGGCTGCAGTGAGGGAACAGGTGGAGGTGAGCTGGGGTGGGAGTGAGGGAAAGGGTGGAGGTGAGCTGGGGTGTGAGTGAGTGAAAGGGTGGAGGCGAGCTGGGAGGGATGAGGAAAAGGGTGGAGGTGAGCTGGGGTGGGAGTGAGGGAATGGGTGGAGGTGAGCTGCGGGGGATGAGGGAACAGGTGGAGGTGAGCTGCGGGGGATGAGGGAACAAGTGGAGGTGAGCTGGGGCGGGGTGAGGGAACAGGTGGAGGTAGCAGGTGAGTAAACCAGCACATGGCAGGGCTGTGGGCCACAGCAATTATCCTCATTGGGTCTGCAACCTAATATTCAAAAATTTCCATCTGTTTACTCACTAGTGTAGGCCCCGTACCTCAGTGAACAGGAAGAAAATTCGGGTTTAAGGCACTTTACACAAAAGCCAGTGGTCACAGAAGGAAGGAAAATCATGGGAGGTGAAACTGTGTCTCTGCCACACTGGGCGGGCTGAATTGGTTCACTGCAAGTCATGAGCTGCTGTCATGACGACGTGCTGTCCCTGGGGCGGGATGCTATACCACAGGAAGGGGTTTTGAGGGGGAAAGAGAAAATTAAAAATAACACCAACCACAGAGATTCACAAAAGAGGAAATGCGACAACAGAGACCATGGAAAAATATTCACCCACACTAATAATCAAAGAAGTGCATATGAAAACAATGGACTACTCTCCAAAAAGTATCAAATTAGCAAACACATTTAAAATGATAATACCTGGCACTGGTGACAGCATAGCAAATAAGCAATGAAGCCCTACATCATCACATTCACAGGGGACTACTTACTGGGAGCTTTCACGGAAACGGTGTACTCATTCTCCAGCTTGGCTTCCATCCTCACAGAGGGAGAATCCTCAGGAGAAAACTCTGCCTCCGTCGCCACCCTGTTATCCAACTTACATCTCACAATAACGTAGACAGTGGTTTCTGCCTGAAATGGGAAGCCAGTCATTGTCCCCTCTCTCTATCAGATCCCCGTAGGGTGCTGGGCCTGAGGGTCTCCCCAGCTCTATTGCCCCAGCTCTACTGAGGGTCCTCCAGGGCAGGGTAGACTCAGTGGTCCAGTGCTGGGCAGTGAATGGTTTGTACCAATCCCAACGAGACAAGTCACAACAACCGAGAGTAAATATTTATAGCAATTGAATGGAGTCCTTTTACGTCTGTTGAAGTTGATAATAATAATACTAATAAAACTTGGCTGGGTGTGGTGGCTCATGCCTGTAATCCCAGCACTTTGGGAGGCCGAGGTGGGAGGATCATGAGGTCAGGAGTTTGAGACCAGCCTGGCCAACATGGTGAAACCCTGTCTCTACTAAAAATACAAAAACTAGCTAAGTGTGGTGGCAGGTGCCTGTATTCCCAGCTACTCAGGAGGCTGAGGCAGAAAAATTGCTTGAACCCAGGAGGCAAAGGTTGCAGTGAGATGAGATCATGCTACTGCACTCCAGCCAGGGCAAGAGCAAGACTCTGTCTCAAGAAACAAAACAAAACAAAACCAAAAAAACAAACAAGAAAAAAAAAGAAAGAAAGAAAGAAACTTAAGGCTGATACTTAATATGCTTTTTTTTTTTTTTTTTTTTTTTTTTTTTTTTTTTTTGTGAAACAGAGTCTTAGTCTGTCACCCAAACTAGAGTGCAGTGGTATGGCCTCAGCTCACTACAACCTCTGCCTCCCAGGTTCAAGCAATTCTCCTGCCTCAGCCTCCCAAGTAGCTGGGACTACAGGTAGCTGCTACCATGCCCAGCTAATTTTTGTATGTTTAGTAGACACAGGGTTTCACTGTGTTGGCCAGGCTGGTCTTGAACTCCTGACCTCAGGTGATCTGGCTGCCTCAGCCTCCCAAAGTGCTGGGATTTATATGTCTTTTTATTTCATTTTGCATAGCATTTCTGGTGTATTTTTTTTAAATGAAATTATTGGTCCATCTCAGAATTGGACATCTTGTTAGAAGTCCTTCGCGACAGATAGCTTGAGAACACTGGCTCTAGACCAGTCTTGCTACTCAAGGTGGTGCCACGGGAGCATCAGCATTGGCATCCCCTGGAAGCTTGCTAGAAATGCTGAACCTCAGGCCCCTCCTGGCCCCACTGAGCCAGAGTTTGCATTCTAACAAGATGCCCAGGTGACTCCCATGCCCCTTGTAGTGTGAGAGAAGCCCTCCTGGGTTCTGCTCTTCATGTAGTCCTCCCTCATTGGACTTTACCATTGGGCAAAAAGAACTTCTTGGGCAATTAATTTTCCCAAAGCATCAAGCACCTTGAATAGCTCTTTTAGCTTGCTTTAAGATCTCACACCAAGCCTGCCAAATAGGGTAATTCTGCTTGTGCTGGTTACATGGGGAATGAGCCTCTCAGGCTGAACTGGTGAGGTCAGTCTCTCCAAAAAACAGACAGGGTAAGGAGAGATTTCTGGCCATAGCGAATCCCCAAATGCTCCTCCTAAGACTCTGCTATAGTCCTCAGATTAGCCCTTCATGACAAGGGCCACGAGAGGGTGTGGCCAGCTTGGACTTTATGACAGGTGATGGGGAGGGCAGTGATCCTGGCTGCTGGGGGATGCTGAGACTGCACACACATGTGCTGTGGTGGTCGTCCCTCCTGCCGCAGGCCCAGCCCTGTCCCACCTGCACTTTCTACCAGGAAGCATGAGGAGCCAATGAGAATATGTGTCTCCCCTATTGACGGTCAGGATCCAATCCCAGCCTTCCCCTCCCCCTCCCCCCAGGATCCAGAGGCCTGAAATTGGTAACAAGGAGAATCTTGGGTTCACAGGCAGTCAAGACAGGAACGGGACCCTGGAAAAATTACGGAGGTGAGCGAAGGAGATCACACTTTTGTTCCAACCCCCTTTACCTATGGGCACCAAACAGCCTGACCAGAGGGGCATGGGAAGGCAGGAAGTGGCATGGGAAGATTTAAAATGGAAATGTCCATAAAGGCATGGCCAGTAAGGCAAAGGAGTGAGATAGGCTGAGTATGAAGAACAGGGAATATGGGAACCCCCTAACTGGGGGATGCACAGCCCATGTAAAGTGTTGCTCAGCCCCCACCAATTGTCTTTGGCCTAATATGACCAGATTCTGATTCAAAGGAAGCTGGAAATAAAGATTTTTATGCCTAACTTTTAAAAATAATTTTAAAAAGTAAAATATAAAAATAAAGATGGGAGTCTCACCATGTTGCCCAGGCTGGCCTCAAACTTCTGAGCTCGAGGGATCCACCCACCTTGGCCTCCCAAAGTCTTGGCATTCCAGGTGTGAGCCGCTACGCCCAGCCAATGCCTAACTTTTAAAACACTGTGCAGTCTTGGCCAGGCATGGTGACACATACCTGTAATCCCAGCATGTTGCAGGGCCTAGGTGAATGGATCAGTTGAGGCCAGGAGCTTGAGGCCAACCTGGCCAACATGGTGAAACCCAGTCTCTAATAAAAATACAAAAACATTGGCTGAGTGTGGGGGTGCACACCTGCAATCCCAGCTACTTGGGAGGCTGAGGCATGAGGATCACTTGAACCTGGGAGGTGGAGGGTGCAGTGAGCTGAGATCTCACCACTGCACTCCAACCTGGATGACAGAGAGAGAATCCACCTCAAAAAAAATAAATAAATAAACACTGTGCAGTCCAAACCAAACATGTCTGATATGGTTTGGCTGTGTCCTCACCCAAATCTCATCTTGAATTATAACTCCCACAATTCCCACATGAGAGGAGCTTGGTGGGAGATGATTGAATTATGGGAGGCAGGACTTTCCCATGATAGTGAATGAGTCTGACGAGATCTGATGGTTTTAAAAAGAGGAGTTCCCCTGCACAAGTTCTCTCTCTCTTTGCCTAATGTCATCCATGTAAGACATGCCTTTGCTCCTTCTTGCCTTCCGCTATTATTGTGAGGCCTCCCCAGCCATGTGGAACAGTAAGTCCAGTTAAACTTCTTTCTTTTGTAACTTGCCCAGTCTCAGGTATGTTTTTATCAGCAGCATGGAAACAAATAATACAATGTCTATCAGTTAAATCTGGGCCAAAGAAGCAGTTAGCAACCCCATGTAGGAAGTGCTTGCCAAATGCCTCGTGGCCTCAGCCGGCATGAAACCACTCACAAGGGTGAGGAAGCCAGTGCTGCCCACTGCCAAGGCTCCCATGCCCTCTCGCCTCAAGGAGCCCACAGAGCCGTTTTAGCAAAGAGCTTGTATCCATTAAGGAAGCATTCTGCTGCTCTGAACTATCATAAGTGTCACACATTTTTAATTAGGAAAGGAAAAATAATAAAAAAACCATCAGTACTAGGGTAGGATTCAAATGGCAGTGGCTCATCAATTGGGCCACATACTCAAGTCCTCAGTTAAGATATGCCCCACCCCTGAAAATGCTAGTCAAATGATATAAGACATTAATCTGATCCCTTTAAAAAGCAATATTGGCCAGTGAGTTTCAGCCATCAAGCTTCAAGACTTCCTTGGGCCATGGTGGTGGCCAGCAATGGAGAAGCAAGCTGTCAGATGCCCAAGATGCATTTCCTTCCTCCCAGTACTAGACTACCAGGAAGAGACACAGGCCTTTAACTCTTGGGTTAGCATTAGTGTCTGGAATGCTCCTGTCTGCTGGTCTCCTGGATGCTCCGTGTTATTGATCCATAGAAATGAGGTCTTAGACTGATGACACACATCTCCCTGGTCTAGTCTCTTTCTTACTCAAGGGAACTGGATGTGTTTAGGGCCCAGGTAACAGGGTACCCAAAGGAAATCCCAAAGGAAGGCTGCAATTATGCTGAGGTGCAACATGAGAACCCGCTCTCTTTACTACAACAAATGCATGCATTTGAAAAGGCCAAGTGTTGACATCCAGCTACCAGGTCCCCAGCAGTGCCTACCCCACAGCGAATGCGGTCCGGCTGCACCACCATCAGGTTCCCAGGTGACGTCACCGTCGGCAGGCTCTGCTGCTTTGAGTAGGAAACAGGCTTCTCGTCCTCAGGCTCAGTGTCAGTGACTGAGTCACAGCCAGAATCTACGAAATAGAGGACACCACTGAATGGGAATGGCAGGAAGGAGAACTGGTGGGCATGTTCCACCCCATGAGAGCCCTAAACATTGCAAAATAGGAAACGGCTCTGAAGGTCGAACAAATGCAAGCAGAAGGGACTGACTCAGGAAATCATGAAAGAGGACCTAGTGGGGAAAAGCCAACCAGCATGTAGGCCACAGGGCAGGATGAAAGCAAGAGGGAAGGTTGTGGTGGAGGGGAAGGCCAGAAAGTCTGAGGTTTGGTCTTAACCAATGGGTTTCTGGAAGCTTTACCTCCAGACTTCCTGCAGAGACGAAGAGGAGTGAGGAAAGAAAGGAGGCCCTTTCCCCTTAGGTGGGTTCAAGTAGAGACTGTCCACCTAAAGGTCATTCTTGGAACATCAGGTAAAATCTGCACTGTCTAGAAAGCCACTAGGTCTCAGGGTAATGGCTAGCCAATGTATCCCCTCTGGAAGCAACAGTGAAAAGCAATTATTTTCAACAAACCTTAGATAAATGTGGAATACCTGTACCATGGGAAGATTAGAGCATGCACAGAGTCAAGGCTGGTGAGCAGGGGTGTGCAAATGTGTGGGGTGTTGGCACAGAATGAGATGCTGCTGAGAACCTACCAGAGCTCGAAGACAGGGGCTCTTAACCAGGAATTGTTAATTGATAGACCTACCTCTGAGGTTGTGTGCAAGATTGTGTGTGTGTGTGTGTGTGTGCGCGCATGCCTCTTTGCCTCTACTTTTCTGGAGATGGTTCAAAGCACCAGATCCTCAAAGAGGGACAGAATTCCAAGATAGTTAAGATGGTTGAGAGAGCCAGGTGTGGTGGCTCACACCTGTAATCCCAGCACTTTGGGAGGCTGAAGCGGGCAGATCATCTGAGGTCAGGAGTTCGAGACCAGCCTGGACAATAGGGTGAAACCCCATCTCTACTAAAAATACAAAATTAGTCAGGTGTGGTGGCACATGCCTGTAATCCCAGCTACTTGGGAGGCTGAGGCAGGAGAATCACTTGAACCTGGAAGGTGGAGATTGCAGTAAGCTGAGACTGTGCCACTGCACTCCAGCCTGGGTAACAAGAGTGAAACTCTATCTCAAAAAAAAAATGGTTGAGAGGAGACAGAAGTTTCATCAGTCTCTTTTTTGGGCTTGCTCTCATTCATTCCTTAACCACTTTTACAACCAACCAAATGTGTTAGGTACTTGAGGGAACCTAAGGATGAATCAGACACTAACCCTGCCTTCAGAGAGTCCATCATCTAAAAGGATAGGAGAGGTGAGAAGCAAGGGTTAGTTGGCTGATTCCTGCAGGCTGGTTTCCCAGGAGAAAATTAGCCTCCACAGAGTTTGTGGCAACTGTCCTGGTAGAATGCTAGGGCTACAAATCAGCTGCTGATAGGAACCCTAGAAAGCTGCAACCACAGCCTTTCACCCTAGACCCTAGGTCATGTTAGGAAGAGGCTGTGCTTACACAACCATAAAGGCTGAGGTGGGGGTGTGGGGGCAGGACCACAGGGCCACAGTACCACTGTATCCTATTGCTGTAACTATAAGGCACTGATCCCTGGCCTACTCAGGCCAGAGGAGAGACCAGGGCTTCTTCCCTATCCACGCAGCTTAAAAGCTCCATAGCCTAGAGTGGAGGTCCCATCCCAGAGCCTGGATCTGACTGCTGAGTATCTATGGGCTGCCCCAGAGAGCAACGTGCAATGAGGCACGTACTCTTGCCACTATTCCCCTCTCTGTTATTTTTCCCAAAACATGCTACTGCAGAAGGCCTATTTGAATGCTGCCAAAGACCCTGTTTGTGCATCAGGCAAAATCTAGTGTTAAGAGGTAGAGCAAACGACCTGGGGTGTTCTAAGCAAGGTGATACAGTTTTTAGCAGGGCATCAGAACCACCAGTCTCCTCCAATTCTCCTTTCCAATCCTCCTGGCCCTCCTCTCACTCCCTGCAAAAGCCAACACAATAGGCTGGCATGTTCTCTGCTGGCGATGCCCTTCCCCACACCCTTCTCTCCTGACTGATCACCTCTAAAACAGCCAGGGCCCATAGCCCTGGACAGAGCTATAAATGCCACCCAAGCAACCCTTACCCAGCAAAGGAGCTTGTAATGGAAAAAGCCAAAAAGATAGGGACAATTCATAGTCTTCTTCTTAAGATTCAGTTAATTATTATTAGATTCCTGGACATGCCATTTTAAAATGTATTTCTGAGATCCCTCTGGGATGAGAAAATAATCCCACGGACTTGAAATATTCAGTCGGTTACTTAAAACAGAAAGAAGCTCCCTGGAACTATGTCTTGCTCCAGAACTGTTTAGATAGTACTTGAGTGGCCACAGCGGCTGGAGTGGCTCAAACTCTTGCCAGTTACCTATTGTAATATATCACACAGGTATTACCTCTTTGGGATGGACCCACAGTGCAGTCTACCATTGTTTCAACAAAGAAAAATCCTTTATTTCTCTCAAATTACTGACCCACTAGCCTTCTGGCTAAAGAGTCAAAGCCCTAGTAAATGTAACTTAGAAAAGAATGGAGAAAATATAAATTAGTCAAATGAGAAAGGAATGGTAACTACACATAGGGAAATTTTAAGAAACGCATTGAAGTGAAAAGTCTATGTTAAGAATTCATATTAAAGAGGGAATTCCTTGCTAAGAAACTCTCAGTGCAGCTGGATGTGGTAGCTCATGCCTGTAATCCCAGCACTTTGGGAGGCAGAGGTGGGAGGATCACTTAAGGCCAGGGGTTCGAGACCAGCCTCGGCAACATGGCGAAATCCTGTCTCTACAAAAAAAAAAAAAAAAAAAGAAAGAAAGAAAAGAAAATCTCAGTGCAATTTTAATAGAAAAATATAAAGTATTGAAATTGTCTTTAAAGAAGTAGAAAACCTGACTAAATCAATAACCATGAAAAAAAATTTAATAACAGTGAAAAAACCTTCCTCAGTTTAAAAATAATATTTAGAGTGAAAGCCACACAATCTTCTTTGAATTGAATTTAATTTGGGACAATATTCTTCTTTACAATACTAATTTTTTTCTATCCTGGAAAACTCCATTTATATAGGTATTATGTCTTCTAGTAAAGTTTTAAAACATAATAAAGGATAGTCCTATTTTATATTAAAGTTATTAAAAAGAGAATGGACACAGCAACTGAATACAAGAGATAGTCCAGAATTAAAGCTTCATTCCCCTAAAAACAATAGGAATTTAAAAAAGCATTAAAAACCAGTACAAAGACATTGTCAAGATAATGCAGCAATAAGCCATTGTCTGGGGGAAAATAGTTGCAAAAGACCTACCTAATAAAATACTTGTCCCAAAATATACAAAGAACTCTTAAAACTCAACAGGCAGAAAATAAAAAGCCTGATTTTTAAAAGGGCAAAATACCTGAACAGACACTTCATCAAATAAGACATCTGTATATCTTGAAAAGATGGTCCACATCATATGTCATCAGGGAAATGAAAACTAAAATAACAATGAGATAGCACTGCACGACTATTAGAACGGCCAGAATCGAGAACACTGACACCACCAAATGCTGGCGAGGGTGAGGATGTGGAGCAACAAGAACTTGCATCCTTTGCTGAGGTTCTTCGCCTTTGCTGGTAGGAATGCAAAATGGTGCAGCCACTTTGGAAGACAGACTTACAAAACTAAACACAAGCTTACTAAACACAAGCTTACTAAACAACCCAGCAATCATGCTCCTTGATATTAACAAATAGAGTTGAAAACTTACAGTCACACAAATACCTGCACACAAATGTTTATAGCAGCTTTGTTCATAACAGCCAAAACTTGGAAGTGACCAACATGTCCTTCAGTAGGTGAATGGATAAAGTGTGGTACCTCCAGACAATGCAACACTATTCAGAACTAAAAAGAAGGCAAGCCCTGAAATGCCATGGAGAAAACCTGAATGCACATTACTAAGTGAAAGAAGTCAATCTGAGCCAGGTGCAGTGGCTCACCCCTGTAATCCCAGCACTTTGGGAGGCTAAGGTAGGCAGATCACCTGAGGTCAGGAATTTGAGACCAGTCTGGCCAACATGGTAAAACCTGTCTCTAGTGAAAATACAAAAATATGCCAGGCATGGTGGTGCACACCTGTAATCCCAGCTACTTAGGAGGCTGAGGCAGGAGAATCACTTGAACCCAGGAGGCAAAGTTTGCAGTGAGCCAAGATTACGCCACTGCACTTCAGCCTGGGAGACAATAAGGAACTCCATTTCAAAAAAAAAAAAAAAAAAAAAAAAAGAAGTCAATCTGAAAACACATTGTATGATTCCAACTATATGATGTTCTGGAAAAGGCAGAACTATGGATCAGTGGTTACCCGTGGTTAGGAGGAAAGAAAGAATGAACAGGCAGAGCACAGAGGCTTTTTGGGGCAATGAAACTACTCGTATGATACTATACTGGTAGGTGCATGTTATTAGACGTTTCTCCAAACCAATAGAATATACAACACTAGGTGAATCCTAATATAAACTATAGGCTTTGGGTGAGTGATCGTGATGCATCAATGTAGATTCATCAGCATTAACAAATGGGCTACTCTGCTGCAGGATGTTGATGGAGGTGGGGGGAGGCTGTGTATATGTATGCAGGGGCAGAGCAGATATGGAACTTCGAGTGTTTTCCACTTGATTTTGCTATGAACCTAAAACTGCTTTAAAATATAAAGTCTATTCAAAAATATTAGCTGGACATGGTGGCATGTGCCTGTAGTCCCAGCTACTCGGGAGGCTGAGGTGGGAGGGTTGCTTGAGTCCAGGAGGTGGAGGATGCAGTCACGCCATGCACTCCGGCCTGGGTGACAGAGAGAGACCCTGTCTCTAAAAAAAAAGAAAAAGGAAATCAATATGGACTAAATAAAATGGTTAGTGTGAAGGATGATTCAGCAGATGGTGCCAGAAAATATTATCTATGAGGGAGAGGGAAAAGTGACGGGTATTATTTAGATTCTTCCT